CGAATTTCACATGGTCGAGATAATCCAGCAACTGTAATGGAAAACAGATGAGTGATATTTGACCAAAACAGACAGATTATCCCTTTGCAAACAGTGTCGGAAATGTGAGAGTCTTCGGTCAAATTGATTGCTTCTGTGTGCAAGCAGCTCATGTGTGTACGAAACGTGGCAGTTAAACTCAAGCAGGGGACGGAAATGAAAACTCACGAAACGTTTACTTTCCAACACTTTATTTTCCTCCCATCCCTTTTTCCATGCGGAAAAACCGAAACCAACGTTTTCATAGGTTCCAGTTATTTTTATTCCTGTAGGTTGATGGATGGAACGGTGAGTTCTTAGTTTGCTGAACAAATCGAGAGCGGATATTTTTCGGCGTGCACTCAAATGCTTATCATAATAATCATTCATCACTCTCAATGAGTCCAATAGCTAACCCACTGGAACTCATCCACATAGAAAACTTGATTCATCAGATACAAATGATGGAAGTCAACCGGACATGTACTGCGGTAGACCAAATGAAACTATCAGCTGAAAACGAATTGCGATTGACCAGAGATCATATTGTGGATGGGGCAAAGAATAAGCGTAACTGATGTGCTCCAGTGAGAGAAGAAGTCAAGTCTAAACTACAATAATGCCTCTAAAACGATATACAGACAAATATTATCGAATAATCTTGTTCAGGCGGCATTCAACTTCATTTGATTGAAATCTTGTCCGATTATTACTCCAACCGTCAGCGGTTCACACTCTACAAAGGCCGGACCCCTTCACCGTTTTCATAATTCCAAGAGGCAGATGTCGGGTAGAGAAGAAACGGTTATTACGGATAACGATAAGAATACTTATAAACGCTCTGATCAACTGTCCGGAGGCCTAGTGGGTATTATGCTTGCAGTCTGGCACATGAGACCCAATCAGTTCGAAATAGCTGTCCAGTGCTTCCTAGCTTTTCACTTCACGCATCGTTTGCTATATACACGACGAATTCCCGTTTGAAATTGGATTATATTGAACGGAACTTATCATCTGGAACATGATGATTATAGTAACCACAAGCGAACAAGATAAATGATAGTCCAGGGCCAGGTTAGTTTTGCCATTTTGAGCAAACTAATTCGTTGTTGCAGATCCTGTTCATTTTTCTGAGAAACCGCAAATTACATTCTTTTCCCAAATCCAAACCTACTACTCACAAATGAGAGCAGTACATATTAACACTGTTCCCCTTTTTGCAAGCTGTAATGCGAGACGACATTTCACCTCCTTATATATTTTCTATTTGCATTTTATTCATACCCATTAACAAGAATTCCTTTTGGAAGTCTCTTGGTCATCAATATGGAGATATATGATTAGAAAACTGCAGTTTGTCAAAGCGATAATGAAAAACACCTATACAAATTGTACCATGCATGGAAATTAATCCCACTTCACAACACTGATCAAATAGATTCACCTCACGGACTAAACCCTATGCTATTCAGTGTGTATCCTGATAGACACAAATGATAAAGTGCCACCGAAATTCAATAAATCGGTTTTGTTTCAAAATGTCAAGTGCCTTAACATGCCACGTAGCCTTTTAGCCCTTAATTTGCAAAGGTAAGCTCGGATTTGAATTGCAACCATACCTACTGAAAATAACGCACACGGTGGTTTGCATATTATCCCTGTGTACTCAAAACCAGAGCCAATGCAGTTGAAGGCCCAAGGCTTTCGATTATAAATTTCACTATTGATCGCTGTCCTAGGCATTTGCATGAGATTAGACTATGGTGTAAATCCGCCTGAGGAAGCTGTGCCGTGTGTGAAAACACGCTGCATCTGTTCTATTCGGATGCCGTGAGTCGATTCTTTTTGGATCTCGTCGGTATTCACACTGTAAAACAATATGCGCATCCTATTGTTCTCGACTTTGTGCCGATGGCGGGGGTGGGGTGATCCGAATCGTAACCTGCCGCTCGATCCAGCCCCGACGACACGGAATGATACAATTTCCGGAAGGTTGTGCGTGACAAGTGTGCAGGCTATTGGACCGTTAGCGAATACAATGAATATTCTGAACCTATCAATTAGCATCCTTAATCTTGAAATGTGGATCCAAATAGATTTAAAAACACGATAATCACTGGACTAACCTTTTACGTATATTGTTTTCGGTATTTCTATGAATGAACCAAAACACAATATATAGTTACATTTCAAGACAGAATCAAAAAATAGATCAGTGTTCTTAATGATTTACTAACATACATCCGAGACGCCCAAAAGTGGGGAAAAGTATCTCGTTTGGTTTTCCTCCATTTTATAGTTAAACTACATCGCACAGTTAAACATTCCCTGTCGTTGAGTGTCAGTTGTCGTGCACATCAGAACACAATTTTTGATGAATTGATGACGCGGAATTTCCATACGATCATTTGGTGCATACTCGAGAACAACCTTGTACTCCACCCAAAAATGGAGAACACACCTCTTACTACACAGTGCATTCACAGAAACACATCTTCACTATGGTTTCAACCGTTGAGTTTAGTCTAGCATTAATCTGTCGGTGTCTACATCGGCTGTTCTAAATGAAGAGAAAGTAGACCATTTGTATGACAAGTATGCATATTACAACCAAACCCGATTAAGTGTATCATGATCGGTCGTCTTGTTCGATCGCCCTTGTTCTACTCTCACCCCCACCCCGTTGTTTGGTTTGCTAGTAGTCAACTGAGTTTAGCTTCCTCTGTGAATACGGACTCAATCCGCTTCGGATACGCGTTAGATGGAAATAAAAGGTTTGTGGGGCATTTATATTCAGTCACCGAAAACTCACTATACAGACCGATATATTTGATGTCCACATTGGATCTCTTGTTTAGCACAGGTTTCCATTTTTCCAGAAACTCAATGACAGTGTCAGTACTACACTTAGTTCCGTTGCCCGAATGGACGTCAAACAGCGCAGAATCCAAATATACTCTTCCCGTTGCGAATGTTTCGTTCCGATAGTCGCTTCCACATCCTAATATTTGGTCATGTACAATTTCGGACATGTTTCGGATTGCCATAAGTAACTGAAAAATTGAAAATAATTATATTATATATTTATATTTCTACGTATTGTTTCTATTTTTTCATTTAAAGGAGTAAAACATCTGAGGGTTTAGCATGCGAAGGCATTTATTTGATAACGTTTTCTAACATTTACGTCTCGTAGCGTAATGGTGGTTTTAATTGCATTAGGATACACTGGCATAGGCGGATAGTGCGTGTATATAACAATTCGGCATACTTACATGATAGCATAGCGGATTCCATACAGAATATGGTTGTGTGTTCGAAAATATGCTCATAGCCCACTCATCGGATAATATTTTCATTGAAATTTCGAATGCTTGCCGAAAAGAAAACAATTGGCGCATGGATAGTATTAGATCCAGTTAAGGGCGAATGTTTTTTTATCACTACGAGTTACGTGACAAGACATAATGTTCGACTTCTGTCTTGTGGATGCAACTAGCGTTCCCTCTCATGAGTTCATCGATCGCTGTGTCCAAATTTGGCATCCATATTTCTACATTTTCTTTTGTTTTACTGTATCAATATCATAGGATAAAATGTAGACTTAATGTCTACACGGACAGTCCATTAAATATCTAACTAACGGATCGTGTCACTGAATCGATGCAATCGTCCTGGCTACGCCTGAGGACCTTCCAAATTTCATCAGAAATCTGTTGCATCACCGTGGATTTACCCTTCTTCTTGTACTATTTTTCAATTTATCCAAATGCTTCGAATGCCCGTTTACCCTCTGTCGATATGCTCCTCCCCGTGACCCTTCGACGATAAACGCAGTTTTGCTAACTAGAATAGATCCAGTGAAATATTTAGGATTTACCATTGATCAGAACTGAAAGCGGTTATCCCATGTACGCAACTGTGTGCGTCAACCGTCAACCTACATACACACACGCACACAAACGCACAAGCCACTAATCTGCATCAACCATCATAGTGTTACCAGTCCTTTATTGTCCTCTTTCTCCATTCTACTTTTCCATGTAAGTCACACTCGGCGTTTGGCACATTTTCCAGTGTTTCTTATGCAACACGATCCCTATCTCTCTGGCATTAGCACGAAAAACACAAAAAATGTCGACCAACCGAGCCCATCTCTCCATCGTTATTTCATTTGGCCTTCATCCTGTCAAGCCCTCCACGACTGTATCACTCAAGCTAGTCCTCTTGCACTTGGTAGCTTTAGTTGCCCCCCTCTATGACAGCTATAGATTGAGCTGCACTCGGTCAATCAGGTATCTTCAAAATTATTGTCTTCTGTTTACAAACGCATGATGTGACTAAGGGAAAACATGTTTCTTTGTAAATACCTCTCTCCGCGGATAGAGATAAAACATTTGTTAAACGGTATACTTACCAACTGCTTTTACTATTCCTACAAGGACAATTTGTCAAGTGTGAAAAGGAGCGTCATGATAATACCAAAATCATAATTGACAGATGGTCGTATTTATCAAAAGCCGGTCAATGTGGCATTGCAATTGTATTTCACTGATAGTGATACCTGATTTTATGGCCCATTTTGTGCTTTGAAGAGAACAGACGGCAGGTTTTCAATCGACGTCTAACCACAAATTTTATGTTAAAGATAGTTTTCTTAAGTTTAGTCTCGAAGCGATGTTGTCTTCGGGCGTTTCTGGTGGTAACATGTATGCTACACAAACATGCGAACCCAGCTTCGAGTTATCACAGGTTCAAACTCCACTGTTGACATCTTCATCAAATGTGATAAAATACATGACTAGTTCTAGATTTGGCCAAGTGTTAAGCATGAGGACAAATACGCTGATTACCGAGATTTGCGGTAAGTAAATAGTGCAATATACTGGCACACGAATGGACCTAATCAGAGGCAAAGACCAGAACGATATGGTACCCACCAACTACAAGACAAATTTGTTTTCAAAAAGAGTTGGNGTTACTCAGATGCGACTTTTAAACGTTTGATTCTTCGTAAAGGCGTCTTTCCTACCTTTTGCTTCGATTGGTGCCACTGTTTGAACATCTTCATCACTATTCTTTGTGGTGTTCCCGGATCCTTGGGGTTCTACGGTGCCTTGTCCACCCCTGTCTTCGTGGTTATCCGTGCTCTGTTCCGTAGAATGCCATGAGTCCGTTGTCGGGTCACTCGTGTGCGATGGATTGGTAGCATCTGTAACGCAAAATATGGATTGTTCACAGTATTTTAGAGTTTCATCGAAGCGGTCAAATGTGATCTCTTTCATTGTTTGATGAGGTCTGACCCCTGAACCAGCCAGTCCCCATACAAACAAACCCATCCCACGTGACCTAAAGGTCAAACCAATTTCACTTGCCCCAACCACCTGCTGAACGGTCGACAACACACACACATACATGCATGTCATCACCCCCATCGCCTTATAATCGCTTGTAACGTGAAATCCACCGAATAAATCACTTGAAAATGGCCTTCCAAAAGGATTGAAACGTTGTCACCATTGCCTTGTATTTTGATTTTTCATCACCTCATCATACCTGTTACTTAACAGATTCCTTTATAAATGCATCTACAGGCATGCTCCCATGTTTGTTAATCTCAACATTTGATTACAAACCTGCCGTGGTTATATTATTCCTCAGCTCTAAGTGAGTCAGTGGATTCTTTTTGGGGGTCAACCTCGTCTAATGCTGATCCACTACGACTTACTCATATTTCCTCAGCAAGTTAGTTACCGAGATTAACACAGTGATTTTCTGAAATGTTTCCTAGCAGATTGTATCTACACTAATGAAACTGATATTTCCAATTGGGACCCTTCAAGAAACACTGATATTTACGGGTCTCATAAAAACTTAGGCTGTCTTAAAAACATAACATACGAGTTACGGATCTCACTCATATACACACGCACACCGAACAATTGCTAAGGCACCTTTGCAGCGAAAACATGTTCATCATTTCTCCATATGGCACGTAATTATTTTGTAATTATTGACCATTCACATCGTTCTACCAAACCTTTTCTTACCTGCCGATTCGGTGCGTTTTTCTCCTTGGTAATTTGTCCCGCCCTCCTCTGTGATGGTGTCAGTCACTCTTTCCGTTCCGATGGTCGTTTTCTCCACATATTGTTCGTGAGTATATCTGTTCCGTTCGTTAGAATGCCCTGAGCCTGCTGTCCAGTCTCCGTTTTCCGGTATGGCGGTAGTACCTAAATTACGAAACATGAATAATGCGTTTTCAAACATTTCACAGTGTCCATCAAGCCTCTTGCCTAGCTGGTCAATAAACCGAACGTAGCTTTTGTGCACGAATTGAATGAACCTATTTTAATCACAAATTTGGAGTGGAAAACTGTCCGCCAGTCCACGGGCATGTGTGACAATCATTTGGATTATAAAATCATCCCATGTGAGGTGATCCGTTATTTTTTGCAGTTTATTGGCATTTATGCATTTCTGATTCATTTTACCTATTTTGTCTTTGCCTCAAATAATTCATTTGAATAAGGCTTTGTTCACGAGTAAATTGATCCATGGTTTGTTTAAGTACCTCAAACAACCCAGTCGCCCTTGTTATGTAGTTTTCCTGAGAGCTTTATACATGGTACTCAGCTAGCGACAATGTGACCTTTAGTGCAGCGTTATTTTGTGTGATAAACCGCGTACATTGGGAGCTGATATCACCACACGGATCTCTCGTCTTCCGTGATTTATTCTCACGTTTGCAATAACGACTATAAAATAATCCCCTACAAGGCTCCCCTAGATGAATTTCGCGTTCTCGACTGAACAACATAATACGATGGAAATTATTGCATATATTGCGTGGCACTACAGTTCTGTTTTGGTCTTGTGGCAATCGTCATCATTGCGTGCACTTTGTTCGGCTATGAAGTGACATGAACCGCATTAGATATGGAGACGTTTCCCTTGAGCAACTGTTTATCAACCGTTAGATAATGGAAACATCTGTCCGGCGTGTTGTTCCGGGATAGTCACATAGAAAAACGATAGGCGAACTCATGGGATTGAACAGAACTGCCAATCAACCAAGACGGTTGGCCAAACAGAAGTTTACAGTTTGCAGAAAGACAGAACAGTGGTAAAAAGTTACCGAATAAATAATCGTTCAACTTTGGCCATCTCTAATTTGGCAATAAATATCCAGTGTAGAGCAGTCAATGGATATTGTCATTCATAATCAAACTACTTGCATATTCAAAGTACTCAAATTGCAAATGCAATTCTCTTCTGAGGAACTCACCGTGGACACCATCATAATTACTGTACGTGAAGAGCTAGACAAATGTATTTTGATAGATGTTCAATCGCTGCATATTCACTGCCGTTTTTAATTTATGACCTGTTAAATGGATGAATTTCGTTCGCAGTATAATAAAGTTGGCGGGAAAAGGTTTATTCTCCGGCATTGAGGATAATGATGAGGCAAAATACAACTTGTCTTTGGTATGATTATAACGTGCCTCATTTGCAATCCAGTAGCAGTGTCGCAGTGCGTAAAGTTCCATAATACCATATAATCTCTGCATAATCCCCCTAGTATGAACGGCCGAAACCGCGACTGGTGGGATTGTGACGACCAGAGGTCGAGATTTAGTTGGAAAAATATTCTTCAAGTGTATCAAATGATGTGTCGTTTTATCTCTGCTTGTAAAACATAGCAATGATGTCATTTTATCCAGGGTACTCTTACCTTCAAAAGCTACTTCATTTTCAACTGGATCAACTGTGACCGCATATTTTTTGTTGTTCTCGTCATCTCCAATTTTCGTGTTCATGTGATCATCATCGACACCCTCTTGGTTGTTCTCTTCTTTATTGGCAGGTTCCGTCTTCAGATCTTTGCTTTCAAATGCTGCGGTCGTTTCCGAAACAGGGATTTTGATATCTTTCACGATTTTTATTGTGAGTTGCATGTTTCATACATTTACCATGAATTAAATCGAACTCTTTAATTGACTGATCAGGTCTGTTTGGTGGTAGGATCTTCATTTTCACTATAACGACGATGAACCGAGTACTATTGAAAGATTATTAGCAAATTGAGATTTGTGTACTATCCAATGGATAGCTCCCATTAGTCAATCAATCCGCGCCAATATCGTTTCGGTCTAGTCTTTCGACCAACGTACACGAATGTGCTTCCAACATGCAGCCTCAAAACCTAACACCAACCTCACAAACATGTGTATATCGACCAATCCGCGAAGTTCCGCTTCAGTAGAGGGCTCAAATACTGCCGAATTCATCGCCGTCTTTGTGAGAGCGTCCTTGCTCCTCGGTGCGTTTTGGATCGTTTTCAGCATGGACCCATTCACTTTCATAGAAAACCATGGAAAACATTCCTTTGGAACTATTCAAATATCCCCATGAATTTTCGAGGCTTATGAATTCCGCCCTATTTCTACTACATATCCTCACATGACTCGTTCACAAGCGTCAAGTCAAACATACCATATGGATCAAAATGCTTATCTAATGAGGGCTTTCAACTCCTTGTCTTCAAAAACCCTCAACATTGCACTTCTTACTCAAATCCATACTTAGTTTTTCCCTCCTTTCAAAACGTTTGCACGATAAAGAGGCAAAGGAACACTCTGTTTTGGAGATGATAGTTTCTTCATCCCCGACCGAAGTTAACCTATATTCTTCCTAATTTTCACACAATACAAGGGTACTTCCTCTATCTTACTTACTGTTGTGTTCCCCTACTAAATATGGGGTAGAACAGGTACAATTTACGTGATACCTTTTCACTAAGGGGTGCCCTTGGTTGAGAGACCATTGTAAACTAGATCAAACTACCTGACTGATAAATCCTGTGCATCCTTGGATGAAATGATAAAAACCGTTCACTCTTCTAAACACTAATAGACATTATTTGGCTTAAATATGAGAATTGAAAACTGGAACACGTACAGCAATTTGAGGAAACTATTGAAAGTTGTACATTCAAGCATATTGGTAGAGATGTATTGCTTCACGGCCCTAGAGAGAATATCTGAGTCCTTTTCAATGCCGAATCACCAATCAAATCATCCTGGAATAACTCGGTAAACGCATCCCAAAGTCATATTTAACTGACTGTGGTCTCTACAAAACACGAAACATCAACACCGGTTCAGGTTGCAAAAAAGCATGAAATTTACAGGTCTCAATTATCCTCAACTTAGCATTGAATATGTGCTAAACAATAGCACTCAGATCCCCATGGGCTTGAAATTGACCGCATCACTTTGAACACCCAATAAGTACACAGAGTGAGACCAGCACCACTCCCAGTTGATCAGGAAATGTTCAAGGATTCTTACAGCGAGTGCTTGTCACTACGTTGCGAAAAATTGTAGCTCTTAATATCCATGAGTGTGCATCACTCCACTTCCTCTTACCGTCAGCTGCACCTTTGTTGACTTCGTGGCCACCGATATCATTATTTTGAGTGGTTTCTTTTATTGTCTCGACCTTGTGATCATTGTCTTCATCATCCACATCCGGCACAGTAGCTTTGTTCTGATCTGTAGCCGGCTCAGATTCGGTAATATCGTCTGTATCCCCCGGTGTGTCTGAATTATCTGTAACGTGTTTGTATTATCGAAAAAGGTATTTGCTCTTTAAATGTCATATCAGACAATATCGATGTTTAAAAACAGGTGATAGTCATCGTACGATTTTCACAGACATGCCACGTCAGCAGGTCGGTATAATATTATAAGATAGCGTTTTGCAACCGGTTTATCAAAGACAATTATTCCTATACTCTTTTCGGTTATCTTACAGCCAATCAGGTGGCTCAAACCAAATCAGTCTATAATAATTCATAACCACGGCCTGCAGCCTGTTGAGTTTTAACAGTAGCCTGAAGTACACTGGGCGTGAACAAACCAAGGGTTGTCTAATCAGCTAAGTCGACAAGACGATAGCCTGGAAAGAGACTAATGAGGCATAAAATACACTACGGTCAAGCGGGTGAAATACGGTCTTAACGGTCACTTTCTGCAGGTTTTGCAATGCTTATTTCGGAATATATGTAAATTTATATATAAAACATGATACCTTTCAGTACTGAAAATACTAAACAACGTTCCAAATGACGTTTTGTACAGGATAAAAGAGAGCAAATCATGTCATCGAATTCCGTATGGGAAGTGGAAATTTGAAAGTTTTCTCATTGAAAGTTCAACGTTTTACACACTGAAATCAACCGCGGTAAGCTTCTACTTGGATTGTTAGCAGTGTCTGAATGTTCCACGTTTAACGGCATGGAACGTGAAGTACATGTTAGTAGTTGAGTCTTGGCAGATTGTTAACGTCCGAACGTGCTCTTTCTACACAGTTGATATGCAAGTGAGAAACTTTACCGACGAATTAGAGCTTCTGGAACACAAATTGGTGTTATCTTCCAATGTCGTCTACATTTCGGCTCAGGCCTATTTGTACACATTATGTAAGCGTGACAGTGGTGTGCTAAGCACCATTTACTAAGTTGTATGGTGTTCGAAAATGAAATTTGGAAATACATGATTTAATACATGTGAATGAAATTTTCTTACAACAAGCAACCAACATGATATGCACAGTTACTTCTGTAAATGTGCAGTTCTTTATATCAAAAGTTGTAGGAAGTAAGTTGTATAATAGAGAGAATTTCACCTTCATCCACAGATTCATCCGAAGTACAGTCCGGAAAGAGGGGTACTTCCTCCTCATCTGTAAAAAAACGAAATGAACAGCAGGCATGTGTTGATAAACTCATCATCAATCTCGCGCATATCACACTAATTTGTGGTAATTGATAAACTTAATATTCACATTCTCCTAAGTTTTTCCGATCAATGCAATTCTCAAAGCGATTGCTCTCCTATGAAAATCCAACATTCAATGGTAACTAACGTACTTTTCCTAACATATTTTTGAAAGAGAAAACAAATGACCACCCGAGTTCGTTTATGAGCGACATTTTCATAATCGCCATTGATTGGCTCAATATCTGCACCCATCTAACTCGCTCTGTGGGTAAATTACGTGCTTGCGTGGGGGTCACGTGGCGATTGTAGGCATTGTTGGTAGCTTTGTAGCTAAAATGCTTTAGATAATGTGATTTAACAGACGAACACACACACAAGCACACACATACTAACGTGTCTCGTGAAAGGTTGCAGTGCAGTGCAGCCAATCAACGCAGTAGATGCATGAATGTGTACAGGTTTGGAATTGGCACTGCTGGCCGTATTCCACTCACACAGTTCACTGTATTGAACACAGCTAGCCCTTTTGCTCCAGGTGAAACAGTGTGAGAAAGTAACGTATCCTCGATTTCCTTGAATAAAGTATACTGGATACTGTGGTTCATTTGGGTGATTTCGCTTAAGTTGGTTTGTGAGCGACTCAGAACTAGCATGGGGGAGTGCCTGTTAACCACTTGAAATCTAGAAATGACTCTGATTCCCTAATTATCAGCTATCACTCTGAGATGTCCCCTTTCATTTATGCTGCAACAACCCAACGTGCACATCTGTCGTTTGTCTTGGTTTATCGGATAATAACGCTTCTGACGAAAATTGGCTTCCGGTTGGATCTCAGTTCATTTTAGGCAGTACACCTAACAGTGGATATCTTTGAACGTGCCGTTTTGTATCAATCACTGTGCGTTAAACCTGATACCTGTATTCTCAGACGAACGAAAAGGGACTAATTTCTAAAATATTTCATTACTTACTGGCCCAATAGTAGAGATTCACTACCATTCTGATTTTACAGTGCGTACAAATTCCACTGATGAAATAGGTCAAACCACTTAAACTGGAAACTTAGGATCAAACGTTTGACGGGACCCTTTGCTATTTAGTGGAATACATTGTGTTTTGGCTTTAATCGATAGTTCCAAACATTGTATCCATTGTATAGCTTTCTTTCTAGATTTTACACGAAGGGAATCCAGGAGCGTGCAGTGACATCCAACGGGATCGTCAAGAAGAGTCTCCCGTCGTCATCTGGAACAGGCTAACCAAAAATATGGATCTATTTCCCAAGCTCACTGATTATTCGGGACCCGAAAGATCAACTGGTAAGTGAAAAAAGACTAGTCGATGCGAACAGAAGGAGAATAAATCTCCGGCTAGTTTGCTGTCTCCTGGGAACTGAAGATGTGTGTAAATGTGAAGAACTATGCAACATATTAGTCACAGGTAATATGAAAAATCGATAGGAAAGTTTTTGATAATCGTATTCTGTAATCTGAAAACGGAGGTTAAATAATACATATCACAATCTCTTTGAAATTGAAATATTTTATGATGCTCTCAGCTTAATATTATTGCCATACTTTCGGTACTCAACGCGTGGCCAGTTTCAAGTGCCTATCTATCCCGAAATGTGCTTTTCTTTCCGTGGAAAAATTGTTCTAACGCCACAAATGAATGAAGTATGTATCTTCATTCAATTTCGGTATCATAGCATCCATGGGCATCCATTTGTTTGTCTACCTTTGTGGTTGCCAGTGTATACTGAAACCGATCAATGGGTTTCTAATGGCCAGCTTTGGACGGCAGCAGTGCTGGCGTTATTACTCATAAAGTTAGCGACAGATTAATTTCCATCAGTAATGACATGACATGATTTG